TGAAGTTTAGACCAAAAAGTTCTACTTTGGTCTCATCTGACCACATGACTTTCTCCCATGCCTCCTCTGGATCATCCAGATGATCAAGGGCAAACTTCAGAAGGGCCTGGACATGTTACCTTGTGTTGGGGGGCAGCATGCGGAAGAGTCTTAAGATTTTTTTCTGCCTCCTGGATTCTCTTCTGTACCTCTGCCTGCATCTGAACCAGCTCCGTCTGCACACACAACATCCATAACTTAGTATAGAAAAAAAAAGAAGCCACACACTGTGGGCAGCAACAGCCCTAGATTATTAATTCAGTTCAGTTAAGTTGCATTTTAGAAAAGCTACAATTGTAACAACACAGTTCTTACATGCTACAACCAACATGAGAGAAAGAATCACTACAAAAAGCATGGCAATATTATCCTGGTGAGCTTTTTTTTGTTTAATACATACCTGTCTCTCCTTTCTCTCTTCCTCTGGTTTGATCACACGATGTCCCTTGTGCCCTTGCTGGCAACACACCTCACACACACATTCCTTGTCTTCGTGGCAAAACAGGTTCAGAGGTTTGTTGTGTTGAGAGCAGTTTCTTGGGTTCACTGTGGGAAGCTGAGGGTACAAGCTACCCTGCTGTGGCCCAGCGCCTGGTAAGACCTCCAAATACATAGACGTTGATGGTGAGGCCGAGGAGGAGCTTTGCTTGAGGCTGTTGGTTCTTAGTTTCTCCATAGCCATGAACTGTCCATTCTCTGTAAGTGGGAAAACTTGAAAAATCAGCAGTGTATCAAATACTTATTTGCCCCACTGTATGTCATCACTCTAAAATTTTATGATTTCTATTATGGGGACTTGCTTTTTGTCCTTGTAGAGAAGGCATGTTAAACGGTGTGCAGAGATACATGTTTTCACTTATGGTTATCACTCTGTGTGTGTCAAAAGCCTATGTCTTCACTCTGTAAGAACATACTGACTCAGTAACAGTTTTCTCATTTCATCAAGCTACCTTCTCATGGATACTGATTTCTAATAATACACGCGTCATTAAAGGCAACTAATGGCTTTAATACATCAATTGTTAATGCTCAATAGCTATAAAGCCTGGTAAGAAAAGAATATATGAAGGTGACTGGAGGTGTCCTCCCCACACCTTCATCAACAATCACATATAACTTCACTAGAGTACTTTGCCTGAGCAACAAATAGTTTTATAAGAGTACCCTCTCCAAAATATTGAACTTGTTTTCCACATATTACAGCTTAAAGTATATCCTTCCATATTTCTAGTGATGCTGTATAGTTTAATTCATCTTTTTCCCCAAACTAGTAGCTATGATCCATTGTTAGTTGAACAATATTAATGCAGCCTAATATATTAATCCCAAAGTGGGAGGAAATATTGTTACATAGTATTATTGAACCACTCTCCCCTCTCCAGTCCCAGGGCCATGTGACCCAGAGGACCTGATTGATGGGATCATCTTTGCAGCCAACTACCTGGGTTCCACCCAGCTGCTGTCAGATAAGACACCATCCAAGAACATCCGCATGATGCAGGCACAGGAGGCTGTCAGCCGCATCAAGGTGAAAGCACACATAGTACACACTCATGTACACACTTGTGTGTGAAGTTAACAGATGGCACATATATTTTTAGAAGCCACAGTTGAGTCTGTTTCAAGTTCAGGTAGCTGTGTGTTAAGTTTTGAACTTTTAACAAATCTGTAGGTGATACATTGTTTTGAACTTTTAACAAAATCTTTTAACAAATCTGTAGGTGATACATTATATAGACACACTCTGACATCATACCACACCTCTGGTATTTTTATTTTCCATGTTTATTTTCGAAGATCCCACTTTTGCATTATTTTCTTATTTTTCATCATATTTAAAGATGACTAAAGTTTGTTTTATGTCTATGTATCTTATGGTAGCTGTCTCTCCCACTCAAATGTACAGATCGGTGACAAATTAAGAGAAAGACTAACAAAGTAAACAGCTTACACTTTTAACTGTACATTGCAGCTACTGCTCCCATGCAGAATATGTTATCTCATGTTGTGTTCTCATTGTATTTTTTATATGCTTTGTATTATATTTCTATCACTCGCTGGTTGAAGTGCCTTTAGATCTTTATGCCACTTTTTTACCTTATATTTCACTTGTGTTGTTTGGCATTCAGTGTGGGCGGCAAAGTAAGAATTTCATTGTGCAGCAAAACACGATTCCATACTGTGCATATGGCAATAAACACTTTGAATCTTTTAAAGAGCCCATGGCGCTTTTCCTTGTTTTCTGACTTATCTAGAAAACATACAATAAACTTTATCATTACACAGTCATGTGCAATGAAATTAGTATGCTCTTGACCAAAACAGAGCGCAATAAAGACCTTCAAAGAAAAAGATATAAAACCAATTACTAAACAGTAAAAATAAGGTACATTGTAAAATGACAAGTCTATTTAACTTGAACTTATTATGCTGATAAAATAGTATTGCTGCAAGCATTGTCCTAGCAACTGATGGCTTTCAGCTGAATTGCTCTCCATATGTCTTTACAGTTGAAGGCATAGTCCTTTACAGCTGAACTATCAGTAGTCCCTGAGTGGGAGTGAGAGATGGATGTGTGTATGTGGTAGTGGAGTGTTGGGAGGTCTTCGGACTCCGTGTTTGTTTGAAGTTCTAATGGCCAGGGGAATAAGCTGTTTGTGAGTCTGTTGGTATGTGATTTGATTGATCTGTAACATGGCCCAGAGGGTAACAGATCAAACAGGTGATTGGCTGGATGTGAGGAGTCTGAAGTTATGGTTTTTAACCTATTTAGGCAGCGGGATGTGGATATATCCTCCACAGAGAGCAGGGGGCAGCCAATGATGTTTTGTGCTGTGGAGATCACTCTCAGGAGAGAATTTCTGTCCTCCGCTGTGGAGCCAGCGTGCCACACACACAAAACCCTATGCGAGGACACTCTCCATGGACGAGTGATAGAAGGCCAGCAACAGTGTTTTCTCCAGATTGTTTTTCCTCAGGACCCGGAGGAAGTGCAGCCGCTGCGGATCCTTTTCATGATGGCTCTGGTGTCTGTGCTCCATGAGAGGCCAGTGGAGATGTGGATGCCCAGGAACTTAAAGGTGGAGATCAATGGAGATCTCCACACTCTCTCTATTGATGGAGAGAGGGGGGTGGTCTTTCCTGCTCTTCCTGAAGTCAATGATGATTTCTTTGGTCTTTTTGGTGTTTAGTATCAGGTTGTTCGCTAAGCTTCAGTCAGAGAGTTTCCTCACGTCATACCTGTATGACTCATTTCCATCGGTGATCAGCCCAACCACAGTGGTGTCATCCGCAAACTGTATGCTGGTATTTTTTGGGTGGAATGGAGAACAGTCATGTGTGTATAGTGCAAACAATAGGGGGCTCAGCACACATCCCTGTGGGGAGCCAGTGCTGAGGGTGAGGGTGGGGGAAAGGTGGGAGCCGAGTCTGACACGCTGTGGGCAGTTTGTGAGACAGTCCTTAATCCAGCTACAAGTGGAGAGGGGGATCTGGAGGCCTGAAAGTGTAGTGGTGAGTATGTCCAGAATGATCGTATTGAATGCTGAGGTGAAGTTCACAAAGAGCATCCTTACATAGCTCCAAGTGGCTTAGTGTCTGTCTGTTTGCTCTATAGGCAAACTGGTGGGGGTCGAAGGAAGGAGGGAGGCATTTTAGATGTGGTGAGAGAGCAGTCGCTCAAAGCACTTCATGACAACAGACATTAGTGCTATGGGTCTGTAGTCATTTAGGCTATCAATAGCAGATTTTTTGTGAAGGGGGATGATGGTGGCTGATTTCAGGCAAGGTGGAACTGAAGAGCCTGACAGGGACGGGTTGAATAACTTTGTCAGGATCCCTGCTAGCTGGTCTGCACTGGCTTTTATCACCTTAGCTGGGATGCTGTCTAGTCCTGCAGCCTTGCTTGGGTTTACTGCCCTCAGTACCCTTCTCACTTCTTGTTCCTGGAGGCAGAGTGTGGTGGTACAGGAGTTGGAGTTTGCGGGGGGTAGTACGGGGTAGTGATTGGACTCAAAGCATGCAAATAAGATATTCAGCTCCTCTGCCTACCCGCTGTTGCCATTGGAGGTAGTAGGGTTGCAGCCCCTAAAGTTGCTGATAGCCTGAATCCTGCCACTCGGTTATTGGTAGGGGGGCATAAGAGGGACCACATAACCCCAGTCCTGGCATCTCTTCACTGGCTTCCTGTGCATTTTAGTGTTCGTTTTAAGATTCTTTTGTTTATAAGTCCTTGAATGGGCTTGCACAATCTTATCTTGCGGAACTTTTACATCCGTATAATTCGTCACGGTGCCTTAGATCAGCTGATCAGCTTCTTCTGGAGGCACTGAGGGCCAGGCGGAAAACTAGGGGGGATAGAGCCTTTGCTGTGGTGGGTCCAAATTTGTGGAATGCTTTGCCTCTTTATATTAGGCAGGCCCCCTCGTTGTCCATTTTTAAGTCTTATTTGAAAACCTATTTGTATTCATTGGCATTTGGCCAGGAATGAGAGTCTGTCTGTAGTGCTATAGTGTATGTTTTATTGTTTTTATTTTTAGTTATGATGTCACGATTTTAGAGTTGTACGGTATGTTAAGCACTTTGGTCAGCTGTGGCTGTGGTAAAGGGCTTTATAAATAAAGTTGAGTTGAGTTGAGTTCCACATCTGCCGAGGGTTGTTGGCGGTGAAATGGCCGTCAGTCTCCTTCCTGTAGGCATCCTTGGCGTTTTTGATGGCTCTCCTCAGATTGGCTTTTGAGGTGCTGTATGCCGAGTCATCACCAGTCCTAAAGGCCACATTCTGGGCTCTGATCAGAGCCTGAACTTCGTCATTTCCTGTGCATTTTAGTGTTCGTTTTAAGATTCTTTTGTTTATAAGTCCTTGAATGGGCTTGCACAATCTTATCTTGCGGAACTTTTACATCCGTATAATTCGTCACGGTGCCTTAGATCAGCTGATCAGCTTCTTCTGGAGGCACTGAGGGCCAGGCGGAAAACTAGGGGGGATAGAGCCTTTGCTGTGGTGGGTCCAAATTTGTGGAATGCTTTGCCTCTTTATATTAGGCAGGCCCCCTCGTTGTCCATTTTTAAGTCTTATTTGAAAACCTATTTGTATTCATTGGCATTTGGCCAGGAATGAGAGTCTGTCTGTAGTGCTATAGTGTATGTTTTATTGTTTTTATTTTTAGTTATGATGTCACGATTTTAGAGTTGTACGGTATGTTAAGCACTTTGGTCAGCTGTGGCTGTGGTAAAGGGCTTTATAAATAAAGTTGAGTTGAGTTGAGTTCCACATCTGCCGAGGGTTGTTGGCGGTGAAATGGCCGTCAGTCTCCTTCCTGTAGGCATCCTTGGCGTTTTTGATGGCTCTCCTCAGATTGGCTTTTGAGGTGCTGTATGCCGAGTCATCACCAGTCCTAAAGGCCACATTCTGGGCTCTGATCAGAGCCTGAACTTCGCCTGTCATTCAGGGTTTTCGGTTTGGAAAAACCTGAATGTGTTTGTTTACTGTGGCAGTTTCGACACAGCACCTGATGTAAAATAGCACAAACTCTGTGTAAGAGTTCAGGTCCTGTTGCTCGAAGAAGCTCCAGTCCGTATGTGCTAGATAGTCCTGTAGTTGGGGGAGTGCATTTTCAGGGCCAGGTGGTGATGGATTGAATATTTGGTCTTGTTTGCCTTCTAAGAGGGGTGTAGGCAGGGATGAGGAACAGTGAAAGGTGATCGGACTGCCCTAGGTGGGGAAGGGAAACTGCTCTATAAGCATGCGTGATATTGGAGTAGACATGATCAAGTGTCTTTTCCCCCCTTGTAGGACACTTGACGTGCTGATGGAACTTGGGAAGCACAGTCTTTAAGCATGCTTGATTAAAGTCCCCTGCTATTATATGGATGGCATCAGGATGACCCCCTCTGATGTTTGTTAACGATGTGCTGTAAGTGTCCAAGAGCCCTGCTAATGTTAGCATCGGGTGGAATGTAAACAGCAGTGATGATAGCTACTGTTAGCTCGCGGGGCAGAGCTAACAGTAAAACCCCCCATCGTGGTCCTGGCGGTGGATCGTGCAGCCTGCAAGCTGCACCACCGAATCAGGAATCAGGAAAGTTTGTTGACAACAATGATGTACAGTGCCTTATCTGGTGGCTCAAATGCAGGGCTTTTAGTGTTTCACTTTCCAAATCAAACAAGTAATTTATTATAAAGCCTGTTACTATAGGGATGTGATAGCATTAGTGTGTACATTACTGCAGCTACTGCTATCTTAAATCAGCATTTGCTTAGAGCTAGTCTGTGATTATGTATTTTTAATGTTTAGTTTGAAATATTACAGTTTATTTAAAAAATTTCACATTGTCAAGATAATGCTAGCACCATTTATTTGTTTTTTTTCTTTGTCTTTTTTGTATGATGCATAGCTGCCATGGTATTTAGTTGACAGCCCCAATGTTAATACAGTGTATTAATAGATATCTTGATCTTACTAAAATTTCCTAAATGAATCAATAAGGTTTAATTTACTAGCTAACAAAATTAGTGCAGTTAATTTAAGTTTTAATGGCCATTTAATTAATGTGTGGTCATGCTGTGTCACTGTTAAGAGTGTTACCTGAATACCACTGCAGATATGTACAATACAAAACAAACAAGAACAGCTCAACAGCTGTGCTAGCAGTTGATGGGGCATTATCAGTGTGATGACAGTGATGGTAAAATCCCTTAAATACCACCTGTACATTGTACACACTCCGTCTTACTGCTGCCATTTTGCTGGTGAGACCCCTTAAAAAATCCTAGAATGCAATGCACTGTTTACTCCCTGTTGTAAAGTAGAACAATTCAGCCGATAAATGTAGCTACTAGACTACAGTGAAGTATGTCTTTCTTTTAGCTACATAAATTATGGATCAGCATCTGTGGACCGCCTCTTTGTGAGGGTTTACTCCTGTATAATATTGGTTAAACTGTCCAATCACAAGCCAACAGTGTTGTGCCTACATTATCTATTATCTGAAATTTCATTTTCTCTTTCATTGCTGTTTTGTGAAATGTGTTGTTTTGCAACATTGTTTTCAAAAATGTATTTTCAATTTTACCACTAGCAGAATATTAGACTGTCACAAAATGAGAACACATCATCAGAATTTCTTCTTTACTGTACGTGACACTTGTCACACTCATAGGCCTAGTCCTGTCTCAGCCCCATGGTTTCCCTACTATTCTGAAGTGTGACATTCTATGCCCAGCTGCTAGTCATCTCCAGAACCTGCCCCCCTCCCCCCAACTCTGCCCTGCCTCTCAAACCTCATTCTACAGCACTCACACACACCTGGTTTAGAGTCCTGCTGATAGGTTTACAAACCCTAACAGAATTTGAATGATGAGTGAGATGCCAGGAAAGAGAGTGGAGTTGTCTGGCATGAACTGCACCTTTGTGATATTGAAGCAACTGTGATGACCACTCCAGAACCTTCGCTTTTTTCTGCTGCACTGAAGGATCAACTTGGCTTTATGTTTCAGACCACTGTCATGCTGGAAAGTTCAAGTGCATCCCAAAAGTAGCTTCTAGCTTCTTCTGTATTATTGCAAATAATACATGATATGATAGGGAGAGAGTAAGCAACAGGGCCGGTTCTGGACTGAACAGTGGGCAGAGATGTTTCAGGCAGGAGAGAAGGTTTAGGAGCTGTGGACAAAGGCAGGACTCACAGGGGAGATGGAGGCGAGAGATGAGTCAACCAGGAAGGATATGCTGAGGTTGAGGGAAGGAGTGGAGAGCCGAGGAGCAGCGAACGGGGGGGTAGCTGGACTCACCGGTGGAAAAAAGAGGGGTTGTGCTGGGAGCTCGAGAATGCTTGTGCACCAAAGGAGAGGCGAGTCGAGTGGCAGCAAGTCTGAGAGGGCTGGTTCACTGGTAAGAGGGAGGGCCAAGTAGTAGTGAGTTTGAGAGCAGTGGCCTCGCACCCTGGAAGTTGGAGACAGGTAAGCAGAAAAAACACATCGATGCACGAGAGAAGAACAAATCACAGGTAAGTGAGAGAGTCAGGGAGCCGATGAAGACTTCTGGCTGAGCAGAAACATGCGGAGGTAGAAACGATTTTACAGACCAGCAGGGAACTGGTGGAAAATGCCATGTATATATGGGGAGCTGAACTGGGAGGTAATGAGCGGCAGGTGAACAAGATGACTGATTACGCTGGTTAAGATTATGACAGGGAGATGATGACTGATTACTGGTTAAGATTATGACAGGCAGAGGAAAACGGAAACAAAGAACTGAAAAACAGGGAGCACAGGACCGAACCATAAAAAATGGTCTCTAAAGGGCTAAGAAACTCTCTGACTATTTATGCACACACTAATTACAATCAGTCCTCTGCCTCATTCATGACAACACT